ATAGAAACTCCATGTTTTACTCTGTGATGGGCTTAATTGTAGAGATGGGGGGGGGGGGGGACAAGCAGAAGAGAAGGATTATTAATACATCCATTATACAGCACGCATAAGCAAAATGTACCATTTCCTAAAGTAACATATACACCAAATACAAATTAAAATATATGCTGTATAAAACACATGAAATTCCAATTCCATGTGGCATCCTCGATGGAGACTAATTATCATCCACTAAAAACAATGGGTATGTAAAAACCTCCAAATCTGTATTACTGTTAGAGACATGGGAACAACATTATTGGAAACAGTGCTGTTTTAGTATTCATACCAGGGAGATGTTACGTCAACAATCAAATGGTGCTTGGAGTTTTTCTTGTGACTTTCTTGCACAAATGTCAAGGTATGTCTGCGCTACAGCCCTATCATAGTATCAACAAACAAGCTAGAATGGGAGAAAAATTACACACAAGAGAGATAATATATAGAAAGATACAGGGTTAGTAGTAGCAAGCATTCTGATATCAAAAAGGAGAATAATAGGCTGTAATATAAAAAATTAGTAAAGGTGCAAATGGTAACAACTGTGCCTATAACTGGGCTCTGAAACCAATATTCTAGAAACAGCCAACTCTGGTCATCATTGTCCACTCTCTCAGGAATTTACATCCACATTAAAAACTCAGACAGAACAAAAAGAAAAGCTTTCTGTGTTTTAGGCTCTTGTCGTACTGGCGAAATCATCAAGAAGCAGGTAATGGAAGTCATTCCTTAACCGCTTCCCAACCGCCCTATAGCAGAACCAATACTACAGGGTGACAGGGCTGCGCAAAATCATGTATATATACGTGATTTTGCATTTCCTCTGGAGGGCAAGTGGTTAAAAGTGCTGCAGAACCTTGCTGGCCAGAGAGGGAGCTGCAACAAAAAAAAAAAAAAAAAAAAAACGGCATCTTGATGATCTGGCCATTAAAAGGAATGATACCAAAAGAAAAAAAGTGAGTAGACTCTAGTGATTTTGTGGGGAGCCTTCCCGGGCAGTAGAAAACGATTACTGCTAGTGGCTATAGCTGCTGGCTTAATCAAATGTGAAAAATTTGACAGGCTAGTTGTACCCAAGTCAATTGATGGATCAACATGGGTTCAATCAGCCTGGTCATACATGGGTTGAATCTCAGCTGTCCCTACTGAACCGGTCAAATTTCAATCCATGTATGGGGCTGGCTTAATGCTTTCTACCAGCATTTTGCAAATATTTGCAAAAAAAAAAAAAAGTGTTAAAACAGGTTGTGAAGCAGCCCATTAATTACTATGTTTACAGGTGTGGAGCTCTGAGTGGGTAGGGTGAGAAGTAGGCAGTTACCAAAATATACTTGAACAACAAATGAGAAATAGGCGCACTGGATGTAATGCCAAACGGTCACAAGGTTATCCAAAATTAGTAATAAATAAAGGTCTTATATCCTTGTGAGCTGTAGTGTATAAACACAAAGTTCCCTGAATCCATCCACCAGAGCAAGCTTTTCCAAAGAGCAGAAGCTGACTCTAGCAATGTGGAAACAAAAAGGAATCAAAAGAAGCACCTTTAAGTGTAGATAGTATGACAAGTTAGGCAACTCACATGGTGCTAAAATTAGTGATGATCCTTCTTGTTTGTAGCACCATATGAGTTGCCTACATTGTGAATCTATCAATTTGTCATACTGTCTACACTTGGGAGGCATTTCTCCTGTTTCCTTTTTGTTTCCAAAATATATATTTTCTAGTTGTCTTGATTGACCATCATGAAATGGACACATTGTTCCTTATTTGTGATCTGGAGCTGAAAACTCAGTGGACAAAGTAACAAAAGACAAGACCTCTACTTATTAAAAGGATAACTGCACCTTTTATAATAAATGTGGTATTTACATTTGGGACCAGATACCATTACTGCTAATTAGAAGAGCTTCTAACAGCACAGCCTGAAGGCTGTTGGAAATGGTAAGCAAGCCCCTTCTAGCTGTCACTGAAGGCACTTTTTGAAAGCAGGATAGCTTGGTCTCAATGAGATGTCAGTATCTCATCAATAAAACATGCCCCCTAGTACTGGCTTGGAGCAGCTTGCACACAAGCAAAAGCATTTAAAGTATATCTAAACACCTTTTATTTTTATATTTTAGCCTACCAGTATATGGATTGTGTGGCTGTATTAATTTTTAAACTTTTATGGTCATCCAGTAATTCTGTCAGTAACCTCACGTCCATAGTTACATCAGACAGGCCCTTGCACTAGTTAGTCTGGCTGAAAAAAGACAAAAGCCATCCAGTTCAACCACAAAAAAAAAAAAAATGTGTAATCCTACACCCACAGTTGATCCAGAGGAAGGCAAAAAAAACCCAGCAAAGCATGAACCAAATTGCTCCTGCAGGGGGAAAATAGAACCTTCCTGATCCCCTGAGAGGCAATCGGATGTTCCCTGGATCAACTTTACCTATAAATGTTAGTAACCAGTTATATTCTGTGTATCCAAGAAAGAATCCAGGCCTTTTTTAAAGCAATCCATGAAGCTGGGCAGAACCAACTCTTGAGGGAGTTTATTCCACATTTTCCCAGCCCTTACTGTGAAGAAACCTTTCCGTATTTAGAGATTAAAATTGCTTTTCCTCCAGACGTACAGAGTGCCCCCTTGTCCTCTGTGATGACTATATGAACCACTGATGTATTTATACATGGAGATCATATCCCCCTTTGAATCTCCTCTTCTCAAGAAAGAATAAATTCAGTTCCTCTAATCTTTCCTCATAGCTGAGCTCCTCCATGCCTCTTATCAGTTTGGTTGCCATTCTCTGTACTTTCTCCAGTTCCCCAATATTCTTTTTGTGAATTGGTGCCCAAAATTAAACTGCATATTCCAGATGAGGTGTTACTAATGATTTGTACAGGGTAAAAATGGATATCTCTCTCTGGAGACTATACCTCTTAATACAGGAGAGGATTCTGCTCACTTTAGAAGCTGCAGCTTGGCATTGCATGCCATTATTAAGCTTGTGATCTACCAGAACCCCCAGATCCTTCTCCACCATTGATTCCCCCAGCTGTACCCCCCTAGTATGTATGATGCATGCATATTCTTAGCCTCCAAGTGCATAACTTTACATTTATCAACATTAAACCTCATTTGCCACATAGTTGCCCAATTAAACAGTGCATTGAGGTCGGCTTGTAAATTGGAGACATCCTGTAAGGACGTTATTCCACTGCACAGCTTGGTGTCATCTGCAAAGACTGAAATGGTATTTAATCCCAGACCCTATATCATTTATAAATAAATTAAAAAGTAAGGGTCCCAACACTGAATGGTCTAGGGTTGTCAGTGGTGTACCCCAAGGTTCAGAGTATGAATCATTAACCACTACTCTATCTTTTAGCCAGTTTTCTATCCATTTACATACAGATTTTTCCAAGCCCGTAGACTTTACATTACACATTAGCCATGTGTAGGGAACTCTGTCAAACACTTTTGCAAAATCCAAGTATACCACGTCCACCGCCACCCTTCTGTCCAAGGTTTTGCCCCCTCATAAAAAGAAATCAGATTTGTTTGACAACTTCTGTCTTTCATGAATCCATGCTGTCTGTTGCTTAAAATATTTTTTTCCAGCAAGAACTCATCTATGTGGTCTTTTATTAAATTCTCCAGTATCTTCCCAACTATAGAAGTTAAACTAACAGGTCTATAATTACTTGGTAAAGATTTTTACCCCTTTTTAAATATAGGCACCACATTGGCCTTACGCCAGTCCAGTGGTTCTATGCCAGTCATTAAAGAGTCCCTAAAAATTAGAAACAATGGCTTTGAAATGACAGAGCTCAATTCTTTAAGGACCCGTGGGTGTATGCCATCTGGTCCAGGTGCTTTATTCACCTTTATTCTATCTAAATATTGCTGGATCATATCAATTGTGAGCCAATGTGGATCATCTGGAGCTGTGTCAATACCATGCCCATTATGGACAAGAGCTCCCCCATGCTCCTTTGTATACACAGAGCTGAAGAAGGTATTTAATAAATTTTCTCTTTGTCCCCAGTCACCCACTCTAGATTATTTTGTAAAGGGCCCTCAAGGGTCCAGGAGTAACAACATTTACTCTGTACTCTATCCATGGAGAAGCATTGCTGTCATCCTAAGACAGAATTTGGAAAAACACCTCCCCATCCCCTCTGTAGCCCTTAAAGATAGCGGAGAACAATATAATAGATAAAAATGCAGCACAGGCAGAGAGAAGGGGGGGGTGATTCGCTGAGAAGATTTATGGCAAGACTTTTATTTTTTTGCACTCATCTCACAGAACAAATAAAATGCTGTCCAACGGAACACTTAAAGCAGAGTTCCAGTCACACTGTGAAAAAAACTGTAGCTGCTGACTTTTAAAAAAACAGCATTTTTACTCACATGTCGCTCTATCCCCCGGTGTCCCCCTCACAGCCCAGTTCATCCCTGTGTTCCTGGCGCCAGCATCTGCAGTGTGGGCACCCTGCTCTGACAGCTTGTGGCTTCACAGTCAGGTGCGCACTGCGCATGAGCAAATAGTGCTGCATTTTCAGAATGGTCCTGTAGTCTTATGGGACCGGTCAAATGTCCCAGTAGACTACGGGGAGGGGCAACTTCTGCTTCTGATCGCCTAGGTGATCACAGCGGAAGTGGGTACCTGTCAATTTTGGGTACCCGTTCCCCCCAAGGTGGCAATCCTTAATGGGGAGTGGGAGACCAGTCTTTAAAGCAGAACTTCCCCTTTTGGGTGGAGCTCCACTTTAACAGACCAAAAGGGATCAAATAGGAGAATTTCATTATTGGGTTTCATGCACCATTTAAACCATGCACTAGCAGGCTGCAAGCCATGTGGGTGGAAGCCTAGATTTTTAACTGTCAATATAGCCAGACAACAAGTAAAAGACTACAAGGAGGTGTGTAAACATGACAACTATAGTAAAAGTGCGGTTACCTTTTTACTGCTGAAGTCTAAAATCTTACCTTTAAAACGATAGCTACCACCACTGCCACCAATGGGAGGAGCACAAGACCGAGTTTTTTCTTGCTGAACTTAACCGTTAGTAGAAACTTGGCCCAATCCAATTTCTTCTGAGAATAAGGGGGATACCTGAGCTTGTTTGCACTTTCCATACCTAGAGACTTGATGAGGCATGCTCGCTTATGGGAAAAGGTATCAAATGTGTGTTTGCCATGATAGGCACCCATGCCACTATGTCCTAAAATGTAAAGGGAACATATGAATGCATACTAAACACTTTTGGCATTAATAAACAGCTCATATTTTAGTGTAGTAGCCCTTAGATTTAATCAGCAATCAATCTTGTACTGATCTAACTTTAGCAACTGTCTGCTCAACCTTTTTGCCGCCACCCTTGTAAACATTTTGGGAAAGTTTCCCTACAATTTAAACATCCATTTATTTTGTATGTGCTGCTAAATTGGATGATTACTAAATAAACACGAAGCACAAAAACTAACTTAGTATGTAATTAACGGCTTGATGAAATTATCCATAATAGTAAAATTTTTAGACAAGCCCTAGTTTTAAAATGAAAGCGTCCTAGAACATGTATACCAGCAGGCAAGTCAGATTTCCTAATTTTCACCCTTGTTCAGGGCACTGACCCAATAAGTAGAACAGCCATGTGCTGAACATGTCAGCAAGGGAACTAGCTATGTCCAAAATGTTTCAACAAAAGCAGCACATATAACAACTGCAAATTGTCCTGATTTATAGATAAACTGCTAACAACTTGTCCATTAACAATTATTTTTTGCGCTCTATGTTCGGTTATTACCAGAGTACAGTAGCTGGAGCTCTAGACTACTTTTCACGTTTACCAAGCAAATCTGAAATGGAAACTATAGGGGCTTTGAATTTATTTTATGTTCTCTCTAAGGGCCCATACACAGACACACACACACACAGAGACAGAGAGAGAGAGATCTTGACCACATTTTGTACTCTGCAATGCACAAAGCATTAGCATCTGTGCGTTGAGGTGCGCAATACAACATGGGTGCACTGTAGCAGACTGCACAGCTGTACACAATAAGAAAGTGTGTGAAATGCTCATAAAATAGTCATTGGCCTTGGTATGTAAAGTTACAGTTAAGGGAGGAAAAGCCATGACTGCATCGGATCATGAAAACTTGTGAACTAAAAATGTAAAAAACTGCCACAAAAAAACATTCAAGGTAGCTGTCTTAGGCTCCATTCACACTTGTATGGCTTGTCAAACGACTTTGGACATCAGTCGCATGACAAGTCGTACCCCATATTTTCCAGTGATAACCATTCATATATGTGCGACCACTACTTTGCTCCAACTTCTATGCAACTTATGGACCATAGATTTCAATGTGAACTCTCCAAAGTTGCATGAAAATTGTACTTAAATGTTTTACATGCAACAGCAGTGAACAGTGGGTTAGACTTTGCAGAGGGACAACAAATCACATGTTTACACTTTGACACATCACTGCCCATCTCTGCTGCTGAGAAGCCCAGCCCGGGCAAATTGTGCATTCAGCTGTGATCTAAGGTGCAGACATGAGCTCTAGTAGATCCATGGGGAAAACTGATGTCCTGGACAATGAGCAACTTATCCGCCTTCATACGTTGGCTATATATGATCTCAGGCACCAAGTGTACAAGGATAAGGCAAAATGGGAGCAAACATGGATGGAGGTTTACCAGATCTAACACCAGGATTAGGATACCCTATCGGGCAGGGAACAGGCAGCAAGAAGCTCATGAAACGGTTTGTTTTATTTGTGGTTAGATCGGTCATTTTTGCATTATGTTAGCAGAAAAAAAAAAAAAAAAAAAAAAAAAACTTTGGACGTCTGTGAAAATCAACTCTGTACGTTAGCTACGTGGCAGTTCATGCAGACCTCTGTTAACAACTGTCTCTCTTGCAAATTATCACCCAAAATAAAGTGTGTGCAATTGCCAAGCTGTGTTCTAATATACTGGCCTGCAGTTATCCACAGTGGGTTTTTTGTCAGCTGATGCACTCACCTAAATGTGCTCCCACATACCTAAATGTGCTCCCACATATAATCACACAAATATATAAAGTGATACTGTGCTGCCACTAAATTCCAAAAATGTGTTTTAACCTCCTTGGCGGTATTCCCGAGTGTAGCTCGGGGTAACATTTCAGTACCAAAAGCGGTAACCCCGAGCTACACTCGGGCTTACCCTGCGGCACTGCTCCAGCATGTATTCTTCACTTACCTTACCCTGCGCTCCCACGATGTGTCCCCTGCAGCGTCCCCGGCCATCTCCTCCGGCCGATGCCGGCATCCGGCTTCTGTGTCCTGTCCCTGTGACGTCGGGACGTACGGGTGCCGCCGGCGGCGGGAAATTTAAAAATTTTAAAAAATGTCATTTTTTTTTTTTTACATTTTACATAGTAAAACATTGCTGTCTCAACCAATTTCACATACATATTGTCCCTAATGCTTTGTCCTGTGCCCTGCCTGCATTTTGTCTGTTCTTTCTGCCTGGAAACTGAGAAATGTCCATGGCGTCCAAAAAGTGTCCCTTTAGGTCAAAAGCGGTTTAGATCAGCTAGAGAACAGCGATAGTAAATTAGAACCACTTGCAGAATTGAGTGATAATGATTCGTGGGGGAAATTCGTCATCAGATACTGAAAACGATTTTGCGACTGAGCTCAGCAATGTGCGAACTTGGCGCTATATTTCAAATTTCAGTGTTTTTGGTTTGATTATATTATTGAATTAAATTTTTTATTTTTATATTATTTTTATGATTATTTATTAAATTATAATTTATGATTTTGTGTTTCAAATTTTATCATACCCGGGATGTTTACTAGACTCTTGTTCGGACAGATTTCAGTGAGTTTTTCCTAAAAATTACAGCCTACAATAAAAAAAATACATATTTCCATGCAAAAAAATGGTACCGCTTTCAGCACCAAAAATCTGAAATAATCATACCGCCAGGGAGGTTAATATTAATCAAAACAAGTGCCTAACAATGTAAAAAAAAAAAAAAAAAAAAAAAAAAACACTATCTCTGTGCCAAAAGAAAGAAACTTGGTAAACAACCACCAGACCTTACAACCTAGATGTATATTATTGTGTAAAGATCACTCAAAATACGTGTGAATCCAAAATAAATATGCATATATAGACAGACAGGCTGTATTACTTATTTTTCTTATCTTTTCTTTTTTTTTTTTACATTGTCCCGCTTCTCCCCGTCTGTCTGCATCTGTGTGCTAACAGGGCGGCGGGGTGTTTACTTGCAGTTTATTTTCAGTTTGCATATTAATTTTGGATTCATACGTACTTCGAGTGATCTTTTTTATTTCTTTATTTTTCACATTTATTTTGAGGGATATTTACACAATACTATACACAATTAATATTGTTTTTTCCCTTTACTTGAATACATCTGGATATAGTGAGTGTCTACTAAGCTGTTTTGTTGTTTTTTTTTTGCAGTGAGATTAGTTTACATTGGGAGTCACTTGTTTTGATCAATATTGAAACACATTTTTGGAATTCAGTGGCAGTACAGCACCACTTATATATTATTAGTCTATAGTGATTGACACAGAAAATCCTGGCTCTGTATACTATGTCACAGCATTCATAACAGATACCTTTTCAAATTAGATAAAATGAACAGAAACCACACAAATACTGTATAAGTTTATTAATCAACATTTATTACATATATCACACTATGTATGTTACGACTGGTTAAAACCAAAGTTGCACCAAAGCTGCGTTACTTTGGAGTCGTACAAGTGTGAATGGAGCCAGAGCAAAAAACTTTTGCAAGCTGCTGTGCATACAGTCTAAGATGTTACTACCAGCTACAATCAATCACATATATTAGCAACAAAAATTATAGCAAGTACTTACCAACACCTCCAAAAGGCAACTCAACAACTGTGAAATGCATAATGACATCATTTCCAGTTACTCCACCACTTGAGGTTTGAGAGATTATCTTTTTAATGATCTGAATAAAAAGATTAATTGTTTAAGAAAAAATATAAAGTCACAACTGTAGAAGAAGAGGAGGGAAGAGTTACAGCCAGTTTATTTTTTACTGTCTGTGTCCCCTTGGGGGACATTTCCCTTAACTTCCTCTCCCATAGATGCTACAGGAAGTGAAAGGTAATCTTAACAAAGGGTGGGGAATTTCCCTCTGTGAACACGTGTCCTGGAAGATTTACCATTCCCTTTTGTTCTGGTGACAACTGTAGACTTTATGATTTCCTTTCACTTTCTGTCTCTGTGACAATGGTTACTAGGGCAAATATAGAGGACAACTCTACCTGGATGGGGCACAGATAGCAATAAAAACTTGACAGGGTTCTAAACTTTCCCTATTCTATAAAAAAAAAAAAAAAAAAAAAAAAAAAAAAAAGAAGATTTGGACTTATTTGGATCCAATCAATGGACAACTCATATAAACCCCCTCCACTCCGAGCAATCGTCAGTTTTTTTGTGTTTCAAGACCGGATGTGATTTCAAGATTGTCATAACCGTCACATGCACTCCAGATCCCAGAAGTGTGGCAGCCATCTTGGTTAATAAGAACGGTAAGGACTTAGCGAGCGCTTACAAACAGCAGCAAATGCACCAAAAAGGAACCACAAACCTTCTCAATGAACAATAAGATAAAAAGTGTGCAGCGCTAAAATCAATGAATAAACATATAATAATAATAATAATAATAAGGTAAAAATGTTAAAACATCATGACGTATGATACCTCTATCAGTAAGTAAATAACAGGTGACAACTCAGTGACAGGTGATTACTCTTGGGATGACCATAAAATAAAGGATATAACCGTCCAGATAAAGTGCAAAAAATGTTCAAAATAAGGTGCCAAAGTGGTTATATAACTCAAAAAAGGGAATAATGTATCAGGTGACGGTGATAGTTCCAAATGGGTATCATTAGATGGAAAACTTCAATATCCCAGTGTGAACCAGTGGTACTCCGGTGATATGCAATAAATTGTAAGATTGCACACTCAACAGAAGGGCCATCTTAATGCGCATTTATCGTGTAAAGCAGCCTGAAGACAACAGGTGAGGTTGGCCAGAAAGTGCCCACAGAGCGTCTCCAAAGAGTTGGAGAATGTCCAAGTATCAAGTCCTTCTGGGTTGGTTTGGTGTTACGTCACCAAGATCACTGGGAGGCCCTTCCTCTTGATTGTGCGAAGCAGACGAGGAAGAATATCTTTGCAGATAAAAAAGACGTGTATTAGCTGGATCCTACGTGTATTAACTGATCGTACAGGGTCATCAGTTCATCCACTGCATAGAGCCTTGGATACCTGATCCTGGTCATAAATCTGTTCACCTTTTTGGTGAAGCAGGATGCCAAAAGATCCATGGTCAGCGTCCCACAATGGTTACAACACATATACTGACACTTCAGGGTGAAAAGACTTTTCAAAACACGTCCCGGAGCTGAGGAAGTCTGCTTGCCAATAGTCTATTCTGGTAATGTGGCCTGCAGACAAAGCTGGAATGTGCCTTTTGTCCCCATTCAGAATTAGCTCTTTTTGCTGAAGGGTTGTGCAGCTTCTGGTGCTGCCCTGATGAACCAAAGATATAAGCCATGGCTGTGGCATTGTCCAACTGAACCCTCCTCAGTCCTCCATGATTGGTTCACTGCATCAGGGATAGGCAAAAAGCCCTTAGTTCAAGCATGGTGATGGCGTCTGGACTCCCTTGAAGACCATATCTCCTGAACCCTTTTAAATCTCTAGGACTCTTCCCCAGTTTAGCATCCTTCAGGAGAACTGTCCTTGTTACTGGAAGAAGGGACTGCTTTCATTCCAGTGCAGGGCTGGTCAGTCACCAGGGTAGCGATATCCTGGTTTTGGGAGACAGGAACATTGGCCAGTCCAGAGACTGCGGGAGCCTGCCCTATGAATTCAGCTGCAGAGGCTTGGAGTGGACCCAAATTAGAAACCAAACTCAGGCTTGAGCAGCTTAATCTGTAGCAAACTGGGTCATCCACAGAAATGGTGAGATTTGGTGCTTACAGACCGATGGCACCTATACCAAACTACCACATCTTGTGCAGGTGATAACAGAAGTCAAAGAATGACTTTATACACAGTATCACTTACCAGCCACATCATACAAGCTTTATTCAGCAGCTGTTGACTTTAAAACACCATGCAAGTACACATATACCTGGTTGTAGACACTTTTGGTCTTAAACAACCAATCCAACCCAGCACAAAAAAAGGCAGTCTTTTGCGTTTAAATATAGTAAGTAATTTTCTACCAGAAGAGCAGTTTTCTTGCTTACTTCTTACCTTTTTGTCGTTTGCAAATGCATAAAGTGCAAGAGGCTTTTCTTTCTGGTTTATGAACTGAATGGCTTCATCTACATTTTGCACGGTTATAATAGGAAGGAGTGGGCCAAAAATCTCTTCCTGCATGATCTTTGAGTCTGCTTTAACATCAACCAGGACAGTTGGCTCTGGAAAAAAAAGTAAGTGTTTAGTCAATGTTTAAAATCTATATATCTGTAAGTGTTAGATTTATACCTTCCTACTTCAGTAAATTTAAATGTACATGCATAGCTCCATAACATGGATGTGCTTGGTTATATTGGTTCCTCCCAGCTTATTCAAGGACAAAACAAAAGTATATGGCAAAGTAAATGTGAAGTCACAGCAGTTTGTACAAACATACCATGTTGCAGATCCAAAGAGTACACATACCTTATTTTTTAAAATCTAAAAAAAACAGTCAATAAATAACTTTCTTCATTTTTTACTGTGACCATAAAGCTCTCTGTACACTATGCATGTGTTAGGGCAGTGGAAGGGGTCTAAAACACAGTCAACAGCTAGTGCCACTCTCACAAACAACTCGATGCATACTTTTTTTTTTCTAAATGTCGATTCAGACTCCAGACGGGAGATTTTATCCAAACCACTTTCATTCAAGGTGGGAGCCATATATGGCTGATGTCACAGGCTGACAATGGGACTCTACAGCCTGGAAGCATGAATAGGATGCAGACAAGACTACCACAAGATTAGAAGCCTCTGGGTAGCGATGACGCAAAAAAAAAAAAAAAAAAAGAAGCCTAGTATTGGGATGATAAAGAGGCATTATTTTTTTGAACTAAAAAAAACATACATCAAAAATTCTGCACTGCTATAATGCACAGACAAAAAAAAGGAAACAAAAAAAGGAAACTACTAAATATATTTTTGTTGACTAGTTATAAGCTCAATTTTAGAACTCACAGAAATAGAATATTTCTAATTTCTATATCAGAGCTGAACAAGCTCTGGCTACCAACCAAAAACAAAAGTCTCACACTGTTTTATTGTATAAAAACCACCTTTTCTAGCAAGCAGAAGACAATTTAATTGGTAAAAAAAAATGATAGGTGCTGGGAGGCATGACTGATTAAATAGTTGATGATGGAAATTACATGAACCTCTCCCCCTTATCACTGGAGATGGTAGAAGCATACACATGCTTGATTAGACTTGATGAAACTTTCCCTTCAAAATCTCTGTACCAGTGCACTTCTACACCACGTCCCTAGTTATATTTGTAACCTTCCAAAATTACATTCCTCTCACATCAAGACATTCGTACCCCAACCCCTGATCCAACATGTTATTTCCCTTCAATTCATCAAAAACCAATATAATACACTCTCTTTGTCTGGTGCAACTACATGCACAGTTCAAAAAATAGTTATACAGAAGTCCTTGAAAAAGTATTCACACCCATTGAAATTTTCCACATTTTATCATGTTACAACCAAAAATGTAAATGTATTTTGTTGGGATTTTATTACCAACACAAGGTGGTACATAATTGTGAAGTGGAAGGAAAATTATAAAATGGTTTTCAAAATGTTTTTACAAATAAATATCTGAAAAGTGTGGCGTGCATTTGCATTCATTCCCCTTTACTCTGATACCCTTAACTAAAATCTAGTGGAACCAATTGCCTTCAGAAGTTACCTAATTAGTAAATAGAGTCCACCTGTGTGTAATTTAGCCTCAATACAAATACAGCTGTTCTGTGAAGGCCTCAGAGGTTTGGTAGAGAACATTAGTGAACAAACAGCATCATGAAGGCCAAGAAATACACCAGACAGGTCAGGGATAAAATTGTGAAGAAGTTTAAAGCAAGGTTAGGTTATAAAAAAATATCCCAAGCTTTGAACATCTCACAGCATTGTTCAATCCATCATTCAAAAATGGAAAAAGTATGGCACAACTGCAAACCTACCAAGACATGGTCGTCCACTTAACCACTTGCCTACCGGGCACTTATACCCCCTTCTTTACCAGGCCAATTTTCAGCTTTCAGCGCTGTCGCACTTTGATTGACAATTGCACGGTCATACAAGATTGTACCCATATGAAATTTTTATCATTTTTTTCTCACAAATAGATCTTTCTTTTGGTGGTATTTAATCACCGCTGGGCACTTTACTTTTTGCGCAATAAACAAAAAAAATTCAAAAAAAAAAAAAAGTTTCTTTGTTTCTATTATAAAATTTTCAAACAGATAATTTTTCTCCTTCACTGATGTACGTTGATGAGGCAGCACTGATGGGCACTAATAGGCGGCACTGATAGGCAGCACTAATAAGGTGGCACGTATAGGTGGCACTGATAGGCAGCACTAATGAGGTGTCATGGATAGGCGACACTGATAGGTGGCACTGATAGACAGCACTGATAGGTGGCACTGACTGGCATCACTGCTGGGCACTGACTGGCGGCACTACTAGGCATTGACTGGCGCAACTGCTGGGCACTGACTGGCACAACCCGATGGGCACTGACTGGTGGCGCTGACTGGCAGCTCTGCTGGGCTGCACTGATGGGTGGCACTGGTGGGCAGAGGTGGGTGGCACTTCTGGGCACAGGTGTGTGGCACTGCTGGGTGGCACAGGTGGGTGCACTGCTGGGCACAGGTGGGAGCACTGCTGGGCACAGGTGGGCTGAACTGGTGGGTGGCACTGCTGTCACCGATCATCAGAGCACTGATCATCAGTGCCCTGATGATCGGTGCCAATCCCTGCTCTGACAACTGCCGGTTCTCGGCAGTACTTTCCTCACACCCTGACAGCGTGAGGAAAGTGCAGCCGAGAACCGGCAATTGCATTTCCCGGTGATCAGCGTGCCATTGGACACGGCTGATCACGTGGTAAAAGGCTGCTGTGATTGGCCTTTTACCACATCACGTGACCAGCTGTGTCCGTAGGACACAGCCATCACGGAGATCGCTGGGTGCGCGCAACCCCGGGGGCGCGCAGGAGAGCGCATTCTGCGAGGAAGTCATATGACGCCCTCCCAGAACTGGCCAGCCGCAGTGTAGCCGTCATTCGGCTATCTGCGGTTGGCAAGTAGTTAAACTGACAGGCCGAGCAAGGACAGCAATAATCATAGAAGCAGCCAAGAGGCCCATGTTAACTCTGGAGCAGCTGCAGAGATCCAAAGCTCAGGTGGGAGAATCTGTCCACAGGACAACTATTAGTCGTGTACTCTGCAAATCTGCCCTTTATGGACCAGTGGCAAGAAGAAAGCCATAAGAAGTCCCGTTTACAGTTTGCAAGCAGCCATGTGGGAGACACAGCAAACATGTACAAGAAGGTGCTCTGGTCAGATGAGACCAAAATTGAACTCTTTGGCCTAAAAGCAAAGCGCTATGTGTGGCAAAAAAAAAACCGCTGCACATCACCCTGAACACATCATCCGCACCGTGAAACATGGTGGTGGCAGCATCATGTTGTGGGGATGCTTTTCATCAGCAGGGACAGGGAAGCTGTTCAGAGTTGATGGGAAGATGGATGGAGCCAAATACAGGGCAATCTTAGAAGAAAACCTATTCGAGTCTGCAAAAGATTTGAGACTGGGACGGAGGTTCACCTTCCAGCAGGACAAAGACCCTAAACATACAGCCAAAGCAATGGAATGGTTTAGATCAAAGCCTATTCATGTGTTCGAATGGTACATTTAAAATTCAGACCTAAATCTAATTTAGAATCTGTGGCAAGACTTGAAAATTGCAGTTCACAGATGCTCTCCATCCAATCTGACAGAGCTTAAGCTATTTTGCAAAGAAGAATGGGCAAAAAATTCACTCTAGGTGTGCAAAGTTGGTAGAGACATTCCCAAAAAGACTTGCAGCTGTAATTGCAGCGAAAGGTGGTTCTACAAAGTATTGACTGAGGGGGGCTGAATATAAATGCACACCACACTTTTCAAATATTTATTTGTAAAAGATTTTGAAAACCATTTATCATTTTCCTTCCACTTTACAATTATGTGCCACTTTGTGTTGGTCTGTCACATAAAATCCCAATAAAATACATTTACGTTTTGGTTGTAGCAAAATGTGGAATATTTCAAGGGGTATGAATATTTTTTCAATGCACTGTAAATGCTCTACCCAGTGTTGATTATAATTTACACAATATTTATCATTAACCCCTGCCACCCACTTAACACATATATGCGATGGAAAAGAAGGTGGGCTTTAACGCCCACATGCATCTATAGGTGGAAGAGCTTTCAAAGACAGCTCTCAGTCCGTAAGAATGATCAAGATTAAGCTGGACCGGCTCCTAATCATGTGACAACCAATCACAGTGATCACATGATTGGCTATCCTTCCTACCCTCTCCCCTCCCCCCGGGTGGACAGACCTTATTAAAAGGACATCAGGACTGGGCAGGAAGGAGTTAACTTACCTATATAGCATGTTTTCTCTTCATGTTGCCCTCCAATTGCAACCTTTTGTCCTTCTAACAAGGCAAGAATACGATCGAAGTGGCGCTTGTTAATAATCCGCTCATAGTCTGATGATTCCTTGGGGTTTTCGCCATAATATTCCTAAAACAGGAAAAAATAAAAATAAAGATTGCGGATTTGATGATCTGTATATTTAAATGGTTAGCAGAATTTTAACTGTTTGATATACTTCCTTTATTTCGTTCAGTACTAAAAAATGATTCAAAATAATAAAAATATAGTGAGCGCTCAAAATAGAGTAAATTAATAAAATATATATATATATATATATATATATATATATATATATATAATATATATATAGAAATAGAAAGTATACCCAGCTGCATATGCACCAAGTTAGGAACCCTAAAACCTAGTGAACATCAATCAATAAAAAAAAAAAAGCAAAAAAAAGTGTAGCGCTGCACTTTTTATTGACTAAAAAATGATTACTACATTAAATAAATATTACAATTTTAAGGTTATTGGATTTATTTTTTAATAAGGGCAATTATCAAATAATACATAGGTATATTTCAAATTTACCAGCTAAAGCGAGCAAGTAGATCTCTAGGCAAGATCTATCTTCTGTAAAGTCTCCCTTCTTTCATGCTGCTGTGCCAAAAACAGACCCAAAAGGGTCAGAGAAGGGGAACTACAGTGAGCAAAAATGCCAATTGTCTTAACTAAAAGATTAAAATTAAAAAAAAAAAAATAAAAGACCATCATGTTACATATGCATTTTCTGGTTGTGTGCCTTTAATAATTTTGTCCCTACCTCACACCATAGCTAGAGGATGCTCTATATAGTTAGTCCCACCCTCCTTCAGGGTGTCTTTAGTTCAGGGGACATGCAATTGGTGGAGCAAGACATATTATATTATGATTTTTTTTTGGCATATCTGCTGTTCATCTGTCAAGATCTGCACAAGTCTTTGGATTTTAGCTTTCTACAATCCACAAGATGTCATTTGGATCAAGTCACTGTCTGCCAATGTTATTGAGACTGTAAGTTACAGCTATCTTGGCACAGCTGGATCAGTTATAGAGATGACACTTTCAGAACTTAGATTGGAGAGGCAAAACAAGGAGAACAAGGACAGTGCTGGGATTTTTTTTTTTTAGAAAGACCCACATTAATTTCAAATTACAGGTTTTATTTTTAAAATAAAGATTTTATCTAATCATTAAAAAGGATATATTATAAAGAAAAAAAAAGGGTTATAAACCATGCTTTATATGCTAAAAACTGAAACCATTTGACCACGTCACCTAAAAATAAATATATATGCTAACAGACATAACATGTAGGAACCAAAAGCAAAAACTTTCATTGCCCCTACTATGCCTGCATGCCGGGCAGTTATGAACAGAGTAGTTCTGATGCTACCCGCAAGTATCAGAGTTTGCCATCAAAACAGGAGAATTTTGATGTACTTGTAAAATTTTATACAGGACACAGGAATCGATTCATAGACCATGGGCTATATGCTGCAAAAAGCTTTGCTGGGTCCACCCCCTAGTGTCCCCATATAATACTGTCCACTCCGTGAGAATCCAGCTTTGTTAGCACACAATAAAAAGATCACACAAAATAGAGGAAAAGGGACCCGTGTTCTGTACTGTACTCCAAGTATACAAAATGTACAGGTACATCAAAATTCTTTTTTTTTTTTACAATACATAGGAATCGATTCATAAAATATGGGACATCCCCAAGCAATGATCAATGGGGACAGGCAACAATACAGTTAGCAGTTAGAAAAAAAAAAGCCACAAGAAAAAGGTCAACAGACCCCAAACAAACCACTAACAGTAGAATCATTTTGCTGCTGACGTAAGTGACAGTAGAGACAGTCACAAGGTAACAGTTTGGGAGAAACGTGAAACATAATTCAGGCAGTGGCCCCACTCAAAGGAGGAGTATAGACACTAGGTGCTGTATAGACCACATAATCCGAGCTCAAATGGGAGTATGGGCTCAGGTAAGGAACAAGGGACTTGTTCCCAAAGGACCGATGCCCTGCAAAATGGGAGGGGGGGGGGGGGGGGGGTTGGCGGAGGGGGCGGCAAATGACCACCCAGGTAGGTGGAAGTGGAGGGAGGAAACCTCGGAGGAATCCAAGGTAAAGGAGCCATTGCTGGTTAGAACAGAAGGATCAGTTTTTATCCCCAGGAAAGGGAACACTTATTCAGGGCTCGGCTTGGCACCGAGGTCTTGCTGGAGTCCCAGGAGGTGACGAGGAAGAGCCCTTTTCAAACGACAGTTGCAGAACAGGAAGCACAATGCCTCAGGAGATAGGGAAAGAATGCACAGGATTGAACAGGATCTACAGGCTCTCAATTCAAATGCATGCAGGGCCAGGATGAAGGATGAACAGAAGATAGCTATTGAAGGACAACATGAAGAGTTGTGGCAACCCAGGTGCTAACCAACTTCCAATGGCTGTGTCTCTTAGGAATCCAGAAAAAGGTGGTATGACAAATGATTATCTTTTTGGTGTTGGCAGAAAATGATGACCAAAAGTGAAAAGCTAGCCAGAAAGAAACTACCAGTTTGGAGGTGGAAAAACAGCATCAAGTTAGAATAGGTATACAATATAATAGCATTACTTATTAGCCTACATAGTGAAACAAAGTTTGGGAAAAAACACTAAGTGTCAGTCCCCCACCTGTGCCCTATGAACCAATTGTGTACATAGCACTCCAGTATGTCTTGAAGAATAAGGCTGTGTTGTATACTACAAAGACAACAAAGAATTTAAGCAAGAAACCAGTATGTATAAGGGTACACCTTGTCCAGGATGCTGGTCTCATCGAGTGTCCAGGTTTTGCCTTGCACAGTGGGTATACCCTCAAAAGGGGTCTTCAGGGTTTGGGTGCTATAGGACTAGACCAAGGCCATGGACCTGTATGACACCCTGACATTACCTACAGTTGTTGCACCACTTTGAAAGAGGTAAATAAATCTGGTGAAAAAATAGTAGGAAGGAAAAGGCATCCATCACCTAAGGACATTAGCAACAAAAACTGGAGCCTCAAGGAGTGAGGGGGATTATATAGAAACTGGCCCAATTAAACTTTTACCATTGTTCAATCACCAAGCAGCAGATCTGTGAATTGATTACGGTGTCTTGTATGATGTACGAAATATGCACATTTTTAGTCAAGTGAGAAAGGGTTAGAACATTTTCTGTCTGTGCTTTCCTGTCCTGGTGAAAAACTGCTTCCCCCCGTTTCAAGCTCTGGAGTCACTTATTCTTTTACAACACCCAGTTAATAGCAATCTTCTCAGCTTTTACTTACTTTTAGAGTTTCTTTGATTCTCTCCAGTAGTTTACCTTGGACTGACTTCTCACACAGGACATAATCAGGAGCAATACAAGTCTGACCACAATTGACAAACTTTCCCCAAGTTACACGTCTGCAAATAAAATCATATTAAAGTCAGCTCTGAAACCAAAAAATTGAAAGAAGTCACTCAGACTTTCAAAGCAACGTCTAGCATGTAACCCCTAGGTTTGGGAGGGCCAGCTTCTCTCAGAAGCTTCTGAGATGGAAAGGTTTTTTTCTTTTGTGACAGATCGCCTAAAAAAATGAAAACTGAAAGCAGAACAACTCAGCTGAATATTTCAGGATGTAATCACTAGGTGTTGCTACTGCAGCATACGTATTAACTAGCTAAAATTGAGAAGTAAAATCTGTGAACTCTCCTGGACATGACTGCATTTGCCATGGTTATAAAGCCTTTTAACTGGGTTCAAGTCCAGAACAAATTTTACAATTTAAACCTGTGTCAGTTCCACATTTTTTTTAACCAGAATATATAGTTCAAAGTTTTTCAGACATACGTGCAAGATGGGCAACAAATGGCTAGAATTCAAAATCCCTCAATTACCCCATCCATGCTAAACAATGTGAACAGAGGTGCTCATTAATTCCTAGTGCCAATGGAAAGAATGCAAACTAACCAGAAGCACATTTAAAATACGCAGGGTCCTTGCTCTACCTCAGAAGAAGTGCGTGCGCACGAAACGCGTCAAGGGGAGCCTGTGGACATCGTTGACACTACGCCGCCGGTGCCATGTGGAGGCCCGGCGGCCACCTATAATTTTAAGAGGGTCAGTGGGTCACTTTCACTTGCCACCTGATTATATGTTTTACTTGGTTTTTTTAAATAAATTGAAGTAATATACTACACTATGAGTATCTCTCTGTGTTCTCTGTGAGGGGTCTTTCTCCCAATTTCACAGCCACAGAATGATTTCAATCCCAGCCCTGGTTCCACTGAAGAGGAATATCCTATCCTGGGAGCTTCCTGACCTGCAGGATTTTGTTTTCCCACAAGAGGGCGTTATCGTCATCCATTTCAGCACATATCCATTTTCTGACCAGAGGGAGAGAGGGGAATCTCCAGGATTTCTTACACACATGCGTTTTTTAAATGCGCTGTTGGTTAGTTTGCATTCTTTCCATTGGCACTAGGAATTAATGAGCACCTTTTCAGGACTATTATTGTGTTGATTTGCATGATTTGATCATTTTACAGTGCTGCATTTTTATATGTATATGTTTTACTGAGGATTTTTATATGCGTTTATTCTGGATGTTCAGCTGATGTTTCTTTGAGAGCGCTCACTGTGTGTCTTTTACCTATACAAATGTGAACAGAGGAATCTACACTGATGACAGCTGCAGCAACTGTGGCTATTTGAATATCCAAACAGTGACTGCAACTTATAGAATACAGTGAAAATATACATAAATTGGGGATTTTTATTTCTGTAAATCCATTCCTAAGATATTTTACAATTCTGTCACATAGCACACCCAGGTCAGAGGGCAGCCATATTTGTTTATTACATATTCAGGTTCTGACTTCTGATTTGAAGTGCTACACAATTAGTGTGTGCAATTTTGTGCTTCTTTATTTACAATGCAAGCATAAGTTACTTGATCTACTGAAAACAATGCACTCCAATGTGGCTTATATCATCTCAAAAAGTTTTTAAACTGCATTTTAAAAGGCAGCCCTTTTTTTTTTGTTTTGGATTGAGTAGGGAAGGATTAGAATTTTGGACAAGTTTTTATTCTTGTTTGTATCCCTGTTAGGGCGATTTACTATCTCTATCAATACAAAAGACAATCTAAAGCTAATCTAATTTTAAGTAATAACTCAACATACTGCATGTGCTTAATGAAAACAATATATTTTTCTTTAAATGTTACTTTGTTTTAACCTAAAATTGTAACGTGTCTATAGTGTTTATGGGTATGGCAGATTGTGGGTAATCTATCTCAAAAAGCAGCTGACACTGTAGTCCAGGGGTGTCCAAACTTTCTAAACAAAGGGCCAGTATACTGTGCTCCAGATTATAGGGGAGCCGGACTGAGGCCAGTGGGAGTAAACAATGCCATAAACATGCCAAACATGACAAAGGGGATAATCTTGCCCCAATGCAAAGCGTGGCAGATGTGGCATGTGTAGATTGGTACCAATGGCAAGTGTAGACCAACCCATTAACCACTAGCAATGCAGGAGCGGGTTGCCGTTCATAAATGGCACCCGCATTTACAGGCTGTGTGCACTCCCTGGGTGCGCACGGCACCTTGATCCGGTGCTCACTGTGTCCGATCGCTGTACAGGACCTCTGTGTGAGGTCCCGATCATGTGATCACTGATTGGCCAATCAGTGATCACATGAATAGCAGTAAGCAAGATGTCACTTCTGACATCATTACTTACTACTAGTGAAATCTGTGAGTGATCACAGAGGTCACATGGTACAAGGCTATTCACAACAGCCTTGTACCATGTGGCAAGCTGTGACCAATCACAGCTCTCATAGCATTTCTCAATGGCTGCAAGAATACAGCAAGAGAGAAGGAGAAATGTTTGCTTTTACAGCCTTTAGGTGACTAGGGTGACAGTATGTAAAAAATAAAACAAAAACATTTTTTGGCAAATTATACATTTTTCGTTATAATTTTGTTTTTTTGTTTTTTTTTTTTACTAAAAAGATAACCGAATTAATTTTGGCCAAGATTTATGAAGAAATATCATTTATTTGCAAAATTTTATAGGCAGCTCCAAGGAGCAGGGCCCTCCTTTCCCTCTTGTATTGAACTGTATATAAATCCTGTATAATTATAAATCCTGTATAATAATAATAAGAAAAACACTTTTTTTCAAAATTTTTGGACTTTTTCATTTATATAGCAAAAGAAGAAAAAAATCCCAGTGGTGAATAAATACCACCAAAATAAAGTTTCATCTGTCTCAAAATAATGCTAAAAAAAATTAATAAGGGTACAGTGTTGCATGACCGCGCAATTGTCATTCAAAGTGTGATAGCACTGAAAGCTGAAAATTGGACTGGACAGGAAGGGGGTGAAAGTGTCCGGACTTGAAGTGGTTAAAGTGCTTTAGGAACAAGGTTCTGTCTGTGACATAAAGCTACAGAGGTCACATAACGGATTTCCTGGATTTTTCAGTAGTGCTACCACATTCCCCTTGCAAAACTTTGGCATTTCAGTTTTAATTTGCAGTTTATATTCACTTAGTAGATTAACCACTTGCCCTCCTGATATACCCCCTTTCCTGACCAGGCCATTTTTTGCGTTACGGCGCTGCGCTACTTTAACTGACAATTGCGCAGTCATGCAACACTGCACCTAAATGAAATTTGTGTCCTTTTTTTTCCCACGAATAGAGCTTTCTTTCGGTGGTATTTGATTGCCTGTGCGGTTTCTATTTCTTGTGCTATAAAAAAAAAAAAAATAGATCGACAAATTTTGAAAAAAAAACAAAAAACAATATTTTTGACTTTTTGCTATTAAACATGTCCAGTAATTTTTTTTTTTTAAAAATCTAATTTCGTCATAAATGTAGGCCAAAATGTATTCTGCTACATATCTTTGCTAAAAAAAAAAATCCCACTACGTGTAAATTAATTGGTTTACGTGAAAGTTATGACGTTTACAAATGTCGGTATATATACTGGGATTTTTTTTTTTTATTATTATTTATTTTTACTAGTAATGGCGGCGATCAGCGACTTACAGCGGGACTGCGGCAGGCATTCTGACACTGGGGGGAACTGACTTGGTGTCACTGACACCAATACAGTGATCAGTGCTAATAAAAAAAAAAAAAAAAAAAAAAAAAAAGCACTGACACTGTACTAATGGCACTGGGCAGGAAGGGGTTAACATGAGAGGTGATCACTGTAAGCACACGGCTTTGGATGGCTGTGCTGTGCACATGGACCTGTGTTTTGATAAAAAGTAGAGTGGAGCCTGCACTGCAAAAACTGTACACATGCTTCAAGAAGGACCTTAGTTTCGTATAGATGCAAAATTGTGAACAGGAAAAAGCTGAAGTAGCAGCTTGTAAAGCACTGTCTTGCCCTTGGCAAGTCAAGAAGTGTTCAGTACCATTTTGTGGTTGATAGTATATAGGGATGGGAAGGGCCAATGGAGTGGGAACACATGGCAATTGATGCACAAGCCTCAAAGTAAACAGAATATTTTCCATCACCTATCCTGAGACACATTGCCCCTTAATTTACGTCTCACATGCTCCTTACCCCATACAGCACAGTCATGTGCCTGTGCTGACCAACCAGAGCTCTCCATTGAAAGTGTTATCATGGATACTCATTTCAGGGCTGTGTATTGCACAGTATATCCTGGTAGCCATGTGTTGCAGGTTCCAGAAGGGTGGCCAAGATATTTAGAATTAGACCACTTAATTTTTCATGAAAGGGTGAACTTACCCTTTGAAGCTGAACTGCATGCAAACAACTAAGCACACCAATAAAATACATATAAGGAAGAGGTTTTGCCTGTCAAATCAAAGGATTTGTATTTCTGCCCACCAAGCTCTGGGATTTACACAGCTCTGCCTCTCTGGCAGGGCAAAGACCAGAATTTTTTCTGCTGAAGTCTGACAGGACCGTGAAATGAGAAGCAGCAGACTGCTGAGTTTATCACTCTTTCTGCCCAATCTGAGAATTACTGTAAATAGACTTCAAGATGCTGAGACCTATAGCCTGTTAATATTGCTAAGGCGGGTAGTGTGTACAATGACCATATCACAGACTTAAAGGAGCAATTAGGCCTCATGCACATAGGGCATTTGCCCATCTTTTCTGGAGGCCTTTCCTCCTGGCAGCAGTGTTTTGGCAGAAAAAAACGCCTGACGCTCGTCTACACGTGTTTAGGCATGTCAAGCTCTTGGGCGTAAATTCATTTCATTGGCCAGAATAAAAATGTATTCTGTCCATTAAAATGAATTAACGTTCAAGCACTTGGTGGGCCATAGCATTAAACACATGTTTACACCTGTTTACATGCGTCAAGAGGTTTTCCTGCCAAAACCGTGCTGCTCCTGGACGTGTTGGCGCTTTTTTTTTTCTGCCTCTAAACACCCATGTGTGAATGGACACATAGGCTAACATGCAGGAGCGTTAAAAGGCAGGAAAAATACAAAAAAATGGCAGATGCCCTTAATAGCAGCATGTGGACACAAAAAACACACACTAAAACAGCCCATACATGTGTAGAAAAAAAAGAGTGAAAACTCATGTCAAAAGACCAATTTTTCGAAGTTCAAATAATTAATGTGCCCATAGCGACAGGTGATTTTTGTGTGGCGATTGAAAAATGACCGATCGAACACGTTGGAATTTTTTTTAAAAACAATTTTCTAATCATTGATGGGGGACTCGTTCGAAAAAAAATTGAAAATGAAATGCACATGAGCGAGGACAGTGTGTGACTCAGAAGGAAAAGAAAGTTCACTACGACAAAAGTTTATCAATATCATACAGTCTTACTGCAATGAAAATATAGATGGGAAAGCAATGTACGTTACACACTTATGAATAGGATGCTTTGCTTTAAAATGTCATGAGGTATTCAAACAAATGCATTCCTTTTTCCAGATGTAGTCATCGCAACTACTTTTCAATCCACATTTTTCACAGTGCGAAAGAATAATCTTGCTGTTCACATGCCACAATTTAAATATGAAAGGGGGAGTGTACATTGCATTACTTCTATCAAAGTGCAGGGGCAGTTTAAAAAAAAAAAAAGTCAATTTTGATTTTCATTCGACAGATAGTTTTTTGTTTTTTTTTACTCGTGTATGATCTGTCTTACATTTTTAATCTGCAAATAGTGACTTTCTGTAAAGTCACTATTTGCATATCAAATGTCTACAATGTAATTTGCATATTTCTCCGTCTCTCATCAAGTCAGGATTTTAACTGAAATATTAAAAAAATATATTTTTGCCCAGTATAACAAACTATACAAGGGTCATTACTGTACATTAATTAGATGAACCTGATGTGGAGTATGACCCCATGATATCAATAGGACGAAATGGTTTAAAAAAACAAAAAAAACACACATAGGAAGGAGTGGCATTCACAAAGCTATTTTAGCCTTGATCTTTATTACACTCACCTGGCAGCAATGTCAATATCACAGTCCTTATCAATGTAACACGGACTCTTCCCCCCCAGCTCAAGAGTCACCGGAGTCAGGTATTTAGCAGCTGCTGACATGATTATTTTGCCAACAGCGGTATTGCCTGTATAAAATATGTGGTCAAATCTTTCTGCAAGTAGCTCGGTTGTTTCTGGCACTCCGCCATTCACCACAGGGTACAGGTCCTTTTGGAAAAAGCAAAGAAACTATTGTAAATATAGAACTCGTGTTGAAGATATCTTATACATGCAGTCTTTACAGTAACAATGGAAATAATTTTCAGTATAGTTACTGAAGATATAATATGTTGCTGACAGGCTCAGGTAAGTGTTTGGGGGGGGGACTATTAGTTTAATGCAGTGAATGCACGAAGGAAAGAAAAAAAACTCATACTTTAGATCCGCTTTAAGGCTTTAACTCCTTTAGTAAATCAACCCCATATGTTTGAACATATGCATGGTTCAGATGTGTTAAAAGAGTACAAAGATGAATAATGTGTGATGTGCCCTATTCCTTCCTATGAGCCTATAAAGACACACACGTGAAGTCATTCTCAACATGCATTGTTATAAAAAGCATGCACTTCACTGAAAAAGTTGTGTGCCATCTTCACTGGCTTCAATCCCTTTCACCACTACTGACTAAGCCATTAGGGGTGCAGTGCACAACTTTCAAAACTGAAAACCCATGGTGTAATCTGTTTAAAACAAACATATAAAGACATACCTTATCTAAATACTGAGGGATAATTTTCCCCAACAGTTTGGATGTGTGTTCACTGACTTCAGAAGGCTTGATCACCACAGCATTACCTAAGGGGGGAAGGAAAAACATAACATAGCATAACATAGTACTTGATATCATGTACATGTTCACACAGAAGCACATCAGAGCACTTTTAAATTTACACAAAGCTTTGCAAAAAGGGATTTTTGTTACCCATTGTATTCCGATTCTTGATCATATGGTTTATGACCTACAGGAGTAGGACCTATGGACAGTCCTAATTGGTATAAACCACCTCTTTGCTATATGTAAGCCACTTAGTAACAAAGCAATATCAGAAGTATAAACACCCAAAAAATAGGAGTGGGTGCTATGTCTATCAATTAATTCAGAGAATGGATTGCATGACGAGTAAGAAAAATCCTGTTTTTCCTTACATTCATTGACAGACAAAGCTCTTCTGATTCTTGACCATAGATACGTCCCAAAGCAGTGTCTCAAGAGGGGATGGGCAAACAAAAATCTTAAACAGAGAGGCTTCACCAACGCCCAGGGGAGCGCTGTGAGTGCTCCTATACAAGTCAATGGTAAGGTCCACCACAAACTGGCCAGCCTTCCTGTCCACCTTATTTTGGCCACTGGATCACTGGCCACAGTAAAGCACATGGAAGCCACAATGCAGTCTCCTGAGCCACCAGAGGGGATCCCCACGCAGGAACAACTGAGAAGACCCCCCCCACCACCACCACCACCCATGGATGCCAGGAAAAGTTGGCCCAAGTACCAGAGGCTGGGAGGTATGCCAAAGGGAAGGAGGAGTAAATAGAGGCCAAGGGGGAGGAGGGGACCCCACAGAACTGACCACCCCATGGAGTTCCTGCGCTCGAGACAACATCTGGAGAGGGAAGGAAGAGGGCATCTACTTACCGATCCAGTGGAGGGTGAGAGTAAGACTATCATGGCAGATCCTCCTCTCCACCGAAGTGGGGGAGCTGTCAGCCAGGGTAACACTGTGACATGGACTTTGGCACCTGGTCATATGCGTTCCCACGAGACAGTTCAGGATGGAGCTGTTGCAGCTCACCCAGCAAATATCTAAAGGTTTGCGTGCACTCAATGGCCAGACTGGAGTGACCACTGACTCTATATTTTTCAGCCAGTCACCCAGCCTGACTGTTGACTGAAGGTCTCCGCAGGAAAAAAAACAAAAAAAAAATAGAGAAAAATGCTATGGAACCACAGGTCCCAGCAGGGACTTAGGTCCTTACTCCATAAACACTAGACAAAAATAACTGGTTTGCCTATAGCAGAGAGGGGGTTATACCAGCCAGGACTGCCCATAGGTAGTAATGTGTTCTTTTTATGCCTAGTGTCCTACTCCTGTAGGTGGTGCTATACACCCTATGGTCAAGAATCAGAAGAGTTGTGCCTGTCAAATTAATTTATCAGTTCCAGAATAAAAGTTCACACTTGCAATCTCCTCTCTGAATCTATGTACTATAGGTAAAACTGGTGACCACCAGTTTAACTGAAACTAGTTAAATATATTTTTGAAATCTGTATTGCTGCCATGGTTCTGTTATTGTAGGAATGTAGGGGAAAAAAAAATGTAAAATACACAAACATGTCTGTACCTGCTGCAATGGCACCCACGACAGGCTGCAAGCAAACCACAAGTGGGTAATTCCAAGCTCCAATGACCAGGACAACACCAAGGGGCTCATGGTTAATGAACGCATCATCTGCTATGGTCAGTAAATTCTTTTTGACATGTTGGGGTGCTGCCCATTCAGGAAGATTGTCGAGAGCCATTTCAATTTCACCCAAGAGCCCCATTATTTCATATGAGTAACTACTTAATTCATTCTAAAAAGAAAAACAGAAAAAAAAACTACTGTTTAGTACAAGCCCTAAATTATTTACATATGAGTACTGAAATGCTTTGGGAAAATAAAAAGAGAACATGGATTTTTTATGCATTAACTAGACAGGTATTTTAAAAAATCAATTTTTATAAATTCCAAATCTCAAACCACGAGAAAAACAGAATGAAAAGTATTCCATTAACATACATAAACATATAATCACATTCGTACTGAGCTTTTCTCATAGTATGCAGCTTCCTATAAGGGATAGAGGTCTAATATCACCAAAAAATATTCCGTATTTTGTCATACAGTCTGCAGAAGCCACATCCTATGAGTAATGACTTCAGCTCAACATGTTTCACACATAGTGCTTCTTCAGGAGCTTGATATAGTTCCTATTCGGACAGAGTACAAGACAATCATCACAATGTTAGTAAACCATATATATCTGTAAAAGCTGAAGTCATTACTCATAGGCTGCGGCTTCCCCAGACTGTATGATGTAATATGGAATATTTTTTGGTGATGTTACACCTCTATCCCTTGTAGGAAGCTGCAAACAAAAGCTTACTCTCTCTGCCTCTCATACATATGAGTAATATCCATCATTTAAACCAGATTGGATATATAGCATTAACTACTTTCAGCACCCTTCGGTCTTAGCACTCATCAAAAAAAAAAAAAAAAAAAGTGTATCAATTTTATCAAATCAATAAAAACGTGTACAAAATAAATGCCTCCCTTAATACCATAGGTGCAATAAATCTTGAATATAAAGTTCAATCAAATATATCCAATTAATTAAATACAGAATAAAAATGTGCAATCAAATATACCAATTAATCTACTTAAATAAAAAAAAATAATTCATCTAAATTCAGTTCAACTAATTCAATAGTGTCCAGTGCAATAAAGTGTCTTATGTATATACACAAGTGCCAGAAAACATTTATGCAATTACCACACATGTCCAAAATGCTCAAATGTAAATATACACTCTTCTTAAATCCCAGAATCCTCTTAATGCAATTTCCAAGTGAGACAAACTCCACTCATGACTCTCCACCCTCCATCCTAGATTACTCACCAGAAATATACAGTAGACCCTCCTATCAATGGGTCAAATATCACTCAATTATTTTACTGAAAAAGTATCCCTTCCAGGAGCAGTTCTCAGAAGTCACATGCTCACCACATCCCAATAGAAACAAAAAAGAACATTCCTCATCACACAAAACCATGTATTTTACCACTTGAAGACTAGGTATTTTAATGCACAAAGACAATATAATACCCAATTGTTTGTAAATAATTAAAAGTTGATGTTACTGAGTAAACAGATACCAAACATGTCATGCTTTAAAATTGCACACACACGTGGAACAACGACAGGTTACCAATTTAGATCTACAGAGGATATCTAGTACTAGAATTGTTGCTCTCCATCTGATGTTTGCGGCGATACCTCACATTTGTGGTGTGCTCACCATTTACGAATGTTTATTATTTATTTTATTTTTTACACTGTCTCTTTAAAAATTATCACTTTTGTTTCTAATCACAAGCAATGTAAACATCCTTTGTGATAGCAATAAGGCATGACAGGCCCTCTTTACTGAGACATCTGGGGTCCAAGTATTGGATCAAACAAAGATCCGTTTGAAGAGATGCTTTCTCATCTAAAAATGGATTGTTTACATTCTGCCCAAACCAAAATAGAATACTCGTTGCTTCTGGTCTCTTATGCAGGCCATAGAGGGGTCGAAAATCGGCCGATTTTTCGTCCGAAAATAAAATCGGCCGATTTTCGGATCGTTAGTGGGCGATTTGGTCGGCCGATTTTCGGTATTTTGGCAGTTTTTTTTTTTCGGTAAAGTTGGAAAAAAATCGGCCGATTTTGCCGATCGGCCGATTTTCGCGGCAATTAGTGGGCGAATCGGCCGATTTTTTACCGATAAAAAAACTGCGCATGAGCAGTGACCTGCAAGAGGAAGACAAAAAGAAGAAAAAGAAGAAGAGGAAGAGGATGAAGAAGAGGATGAGAAGAAGAAGAGAAGAAGAAGAGGATGAGAGGATGAGGAAGAGGAAGAGGAAGAGGAAGAGGAAGAAGAAGAGGAGGAGGATGATGATGAGGATGAAGAAGAGGATGAGGAGGATGATGAGAGAGGATGAGGATGAAGAAGAAGAGGAGAGGAGGAGGAGGAGGAAGAAGAAGAGGAGAGGAGGAGGATGAAGAAGAAGAGGATGAGATGATGAAGAGGATGAGAGGATGAGGATGAAGAAGAAGAAGATGAGGATGAGGATGAAGAAGAAGATGATGAAGAAGAAGAAGAAGAGGATGATGATGATGAAGAAGAAGAGGATGAGGATGAAGAAGAGGATGAAGATGATGAAGAAGAAGAAGAAGAAAGAAGAGGATGAAGATGAAAAAGAAGAAGAAGAGGAAGAGGATGAGGATGAAGAAGAAGAAGAGATGAGGATGAAGAAGAGGATGAGGATGAAGAAGAGGATGAGGATGAAGAAGAAGAAGAGAGAGGATGAGGATGAAGAAGAAGAAGAGGAAGAAGAAGAAGAAGAAGAAAGAAGAAGAAGTAGGATGAAAATAAGAATAATTCCAGTCCAGCAAAAAGTGTCTCTGCAGAGAGCTCTGCTATTTCTGACAGTTCTATGACAGTTCCTTGACATTTACAGCGGTTGAAACATTGTATCTATTTGTTTCCGAATAAAAACATCTGTATCCTAAATGGAAATAAATAGATACAATGTTTCAACCGCTGTAAATGTCAAGGAACTGTCATAGAACTGTCAGAAATAGCAGAGCTCTCTTCAGGGACACTTTTTGCTGGCTGTAGAAGGGATGAAAATCGGCCGATTTTTTTTTACCCATTGATGCAACGTCGGCCGCTTGAACGACCGAATTTTCGTTTTTTAAAAGAAAAATCTGCCGTTTTTCTCCCCATCTATGGCCTGCATTAGACCATGGTTTCTCAACATTTTTTGTATTCAAGTCGCCCTTTAAAATACTGTACAAATCTTGAGTCACCCCATTTTAAAATGTAAGAAACTAAACTAATAGTCATACATGTTACAGCAACATCCACAAACGCAGAACACCCAATGTTAGAGGTGATTTATTCTTACAAATAACAACAAACCTGTGTACATTGGTACTGACTAGTATTCCAGCATTTCTCTATTCACTCAGTTTCTCACCCTCACTCTGCTAATGTAACCCCAGTGCTGGAGGAGAGCGGCAGGTTAGGGGCAAACAAGGATACTGTAGAGGCACCCAATGACCTTATCAACCAATGACTTCATTGGTTGTTACGATACCGGAGGCTAGAAAGTATAATGGTGCACAATGAACCTGTGGCTTTGTGTAACTAAAAGACAGATTTAATCCACCCACTGGCTTGTATACAATTTTTGGGCAATTTGCAGAAATTTTGCCATAGCACCCCTTAAGAAATGCCAGCTTTGACCGGCACTCATGCGTGATGAAGTCACGTACAGGCCTATATGTTTAGTCAGAAATTACATCTTCCGGGGGACAGGTTCCCGAAGACATGTAGGACATGGCCTGTACGTGACATCACCACGCACAAGTACAAGCTGGAGCCAGTGTTTCTTCATAAGCTATCAGCCTGCTATTATTTTTGATTTAAACGCTGTTCATATGTGGTGAAGCTGTATGGTTTTAATCACAAGATTTCTTATGCAATATTTTTGGCTCTAATAAAAGGCATTCATTTTAAATATACTACACTATGGGAGTATAAGGTTTTTCTTTGATGCCAATCCCAGCAAGTGGAGGTGCGGTGTCTGATTCTATGTCAGGAACCGTTGAGAAACAAACTACCTAAGCGAGTTTCACCATTTACAACTTTATGGTTCACCAGATCTGGTAAAAGCACTTGGTGGTGGAATCCTTTCAAGTAGAATTGTGCACTATCAGCCAACGGATGAGCTGTAGCCTTTTCTACACAATTTTTTGTGAAGTGATTAAATCTGCAACACAGACTCACGTGATGATGTTGGACAAGCCCCACCTTATGCGTTTCATTTTGATATCATCTTGTTCTTTATTGTTCTTTATTGTTTCTATTGGGATATGGTGAGCATGGGACTATGCTGAGAATTGCTTTTAGAAGGGACACCTTTTTGGTGAACTAACTGAGCATGCAGGAGTTTTGGTGAGCTTTCAGAAAGCACACCAAAATTGCAGGATATAATAGAAATCTATGGGAAAGTGCAGCTAACTCGTGGCTCTTAGCTGACAAGAAATGAGGGAAAATTTTCAATTGGGACACAGGCAGCATTAAAAAATGGGCTTGGGGATTTCATCTACCCCTACTGTTGTTAAACCTTTTTCCCTGGTTAGATGAGTGAGTAAAATTCTCTCCAATGAAGCCCTGAATAGCCATATTAATACAACTAGGGATCTTCATTCTCTCCCCACAAAAAAAGCTAGGCATACTTTAACCACTTGCCTACTGGGCACTTTTTACCCCCTTCCTGCCCAGACCAATTTTCAGTGTTCAGCACTGTTGCACTTTGAATGATAATTGCGCAGTCATGCAACACTGTACCCAAACAAAATTTTTTATCATTTTTTGAGACAGATAGAGCTTTCTTTTGGTGGTATTTAATCACCACTGGGTTTTTTTCATTTCTTGCTAAATAAACTAAAAATGACTGAAAATTTTGAAATAAAAAAAAAAGTTTTTTTCTTAGTTTCTTTTATGAAATTTTGTAAATAAGTATTTATTCTCCATCACTGATGTGCGCTAATGAGACTGCAGTGATGGGCACTGATAGGCAGCACTGAAAGTGGCACTGATGGGCATTGACAGGCATTACTTGTGGGCATTGACAAGCATCACTGATGGGCACTGATATGCAGCACTGACTGGCACTAAGAGGCAGCACTGACTGGCACTGAGAGGCAGCTCTGATGGGCACCGATATGTGGCATTGATTGGCACTGACAGGTGGAACTCTTGGGGCTACAGCCGCTACACTGATCATCAGTGCCCTGATGATCAGTGTAGATGTCCCCCCTGAGGAATGCCGATTACCGGCTCTCCTCACATGCTGTCAGTGTGAGGAGAGGACTGCTGATAACCGGCATTTCCTTTTTACATGCGATCAGCTGTGATTAATCATATGACAGGGCCGACTTCATTGGCTCTTTACTTTGATTGGTGAACCTCTGTGTCCCAGGGACGCAGTGCACCACCGTTCCTGCCAGCGTGCCCCCGAGGGCGCACATGCGCAGTTAGAGTGGGAGGACGTCATATGATGTCCTCCCAAAACGAGAGAACTGCCGCCCACCCGCCTTTCCTTATATGGCGGGCGGGAGTCGGTTAAGGGTTAGTTTAGGATTGTTGGTCTTTTCTAGTATTTATTGTGAAGGTTTATGGTAAAATGTTAGAAGTTTGAACATTGCTGGGCACAGTTTGATTTTATCTGTAGTTTCTCCAAATACCGTATTGATTATTCTCATATGTATACAGGACCCCGAGGTTTTAGGATTTTACCACAGTGGTAACTCTCCATCACTCTGAAAATACCCTATGCTGACTATTGCAAGGATTTGCAACAAATAAAACCAACCTTGACCTGGTATGGCAGATTGCTGGGCTCAAAATACCCAAGTACAAGCTTGACAAACTGCTATCATTCTGTGGTGCCTCTAATACGGTATATTAAAGTGATAGTGAACGCCACTTTTTATATTGTACCTAAAGGTAAGCCTATAAAAAAAAAAAAAAAAAAAAAAAAAAAAAAAAAAAAAAAACTTACCTGTAGGTACAGTGAATATCTCATAAATGTGTGCCAGGTCACGGGACATGATGGGAATGGCATCACGGCTCGACCATTCAAACGGCCAGAGTCTGTGAACCCGAAAGGAAGACTAAGTGAAGATGGAATCCCTGTCAGTGGTGACAGCATGCTGATGGAGGGGTCCGTTTCTTAGGTAAGTCTGTCATAATGTGCTCTTATGAAGTGCATGCTGGTACATTATGACATGAGCCTGCAGGGGGACCAGTTTTTTCTTTAACACGGATTACTACTGCTTTAATGCTAGGTGATGATTGCCTTTCTTTCTAGTTGGAATTTTGCCATATTGGACCAATTTTTGGAGCTGGCCTGTTCCTGATGAACTAGGCCAAGTTCAATCAGAGGGTGGCCCTGTCTCCATCTGCCCGACATCCTTCGACTGAAAAATTTAAGGGGCTTGGTGGAAAATGGTCAACAGCACCTGCATTTAGAGTACAGTAGCCCTCAGAGGAAGACTCATCCATCTGTGCTGTTAGCGTGGATGAAAGAATCTGAAACATTTCTTTTGTTCAGGCCGCAGGCTGAACAAAAAAAGATCTACATGTGTATGCCCAACTTTGGAACCTCTTTATTTGTATCACCATTTTGCAGATTTTCCCTCAATTACTTAAAGATGAAAGGAAACAATAAGACTTTTTTTCAAATGGGACAGACATATTTAGACATATACAACACTAGACATATTACAGTATACTGTAGCAACTAATTCATTTCTTACTTGTCTGACTACATGATCTAATTGGCTGCTGTGCGCATGGCACAAAATTCTTTGATCCATTCTTTTTAAGAATGTGGTGGGGATATTGGCAGGCGACTTTTTCGCCATACAGGGAAGCAAAATTGAAATGTAATAAGCTCCACATGCCAACATCACATGAACAAATACAAAAACTGTTAGGCAATAATCAACACTGCTATACATTATGACAATGAACAGTAAAAGAACCCAGATACCTTGTGCAAGTCTGCTATTAGGGCTTTTCGAATCTCAGCATCATTTTCATTGATCATCCGTTTGAAAGCCTGGAGCTGCTGAATACGGAAATCCAATGAGCGTGTTTTTCCCGGTGTTAAATGCCTGCTTTGCTCTGTCCACAATCTGTTTCATCATGGTGCTTTGTGTTTGTAAGTCTGAAAGAGTGACAAATATAAAGCGATAAAAGTACACGTTTTATTCGAAAAGAAAATGCAATCATACTTGCCAAGTGGATGCAAAACAAGTAGATTATACATGTCTAAATTAATTTAAAAAAATGCCACAGTTCTTATATGAACCACAATATGACACCTTTAATTGAGTCAGCAATGAGAGAATGTACATATTTCTTGTGGTTTTCCAAATCTGAGGCCCCATGACAAAATCTGTGCTAAGCAATATCCTCTACCTTTCAGCTGGTTCTTGTGAGAACATGCAACTACAGTGACACTTTCTGTTTCTGTAAAGGGAACCTGTCACAACATGATTTGGGAGATGCCCTTGCTATCTTAATTTTGTAAGTGCAAACTTTGTGATTCTGATCTTCACTCGGTAGTACTAGGTATTGCAGTCATGAATCACAGTTCAATCAAGCTGGTAAACCATCAGACCATTGCAAAAAACGACAAACAAACCCCTGTCATCATGCTAAAATTTAGTCAGCTGGGAAACCATACTTCCAGAAGTGTCTATTTCATGGATCCTCAGCAGCTCTTATTGCTTTCTATGCTAACTTCTACATCAGTCTCCAAACTGCGACCCTTTGTTTGCCTTTATCTGGCCCTTGATACTCTTTTCCTCCCTCTGATACAAGGCACTATTCCTGCCACCGTTTCATCCCTGGTGATGCTCTGCCAGGCCTCTACTGCAACTGTCTTTAGTTCCTGCTTATTCTTGGGGCATTTTCCCTTCAGTTTTGTCTTCAGCAAGTGAAATGCATGCTCAATCGGATTCAGGTCAGGTGATTGACTTGGCCATTGCTTAACATTCCACTTCTTTCCCTTCAAAAACTCTTTGGTTGCTTTTGCAGTCTGCTTTGGGTCATTGTCCATCTGCACTGTGAAGTGGCCTCCAATGAGTTCTGAAGCTTTTGGCTGAATATGAGCAGATAATATTGCCCAAAACACTTCAGAAGTCATCCTGCTGCTTTTTTCAGCAGTCACATCATCAATAAATACAAGAGAACCAGTTCCATTGGCAGCCATACATGCCCCTGCCATGACACTACCACCACCATGCTTCACTGATGAGGTGGTATGCTTAGGATCATGAGCAGTTCCTTTCCTTCTCCATACTCTTCTCTTCCCATCACTCTGGTACAAGTTGATCTTGGTCTCATCTGTCCATAGGATGTTGTTCCAGAACTGTGAAGGCTTTTTTAGATGTCGTTTGGCAAACTCTAATCTGGCCTTCCTGTTTTTGAGGCTCAGCAATGGTTTACATCTTGTGGTGAACCCTCTGTATTCACTCTGGTGAAGTCTTCTCTTGATTGTTGACTTTGACACACATACACCTACCTCCTGGAGAGTGTTCTTGATCTGGCCAACTGTTGTGAAGGGTGTTTTCTTCACCAGGGAAAGAATTCTTCTTCGGTCATCCACCACAGTTGTTTTCCGTGGTCTTCCGGGTCTTTTGGTGTTGCTGAGCTCACCGGTGTGTTCCTTCTTTTTAAGAATGTTCCAAACAGTTGTTTTGGCCACGCCTAATGTTTTTGCTATCTCTCTGATGGGTTTGTTTTGTTTTTTTCAGCCTAATGATGGCTTGCTTCACGGATAGTGACAGCTCTTTGGATCTCATCTTGAGAGATGACAGCAACAGATTCCAAATGCAAAGAGCACACTTGAAATGGACTCTGGACCTTTTATCTGCTCATTGTAATTGGGATAATGAGGGAATAACACACACCTGGCCATGGATCAGCTGAGAAGCCAATTGTCCCATTACTTTTGGTCCCTTAACAAGTGGGAGGCACACAAGCAAACTGTTGTAATTCCTACACCGTTCACCTGATTTGGATGTAAATACCCTCAAATTAAAGCGGACAGTCTGCAGTTAAAGCACATCTTGTTTGTTTCATTTCAAATCCATTGTGGTGGTGTATGGAGCCAAAAATGTTAGAATTGTGTCGATGTCCCAATATTTATAGACCTGACTGTAAATACCCTATGATCTTGCCAGTACCTCTGCTTTCCTATTTCAAACTGACCACACTAGGCATGAAAGAACATCTATCCCAATGTGATCAGTTTTCTGGCTGTGAGCTCCTCATGCAGCTGGGAACAGAAGTTATGTATATAAAATTTATGTAAATAAATGCAAGTTTTTTTCTGCAAAAATATATCAATTTATTATTTTTTTACCAAAACTTGAAGTTATTCTTTAACACTTTGTAAGTGGGTACAGCAACAGTTTTTTTTTCTTTTTGGATGAAGATTTTAAATAAATGAATAAAAGCTGACCACTGCAAGCACCCCTGACAGTGGTAAATGGTTTGTTTTAGCCCTCTGTCGCTTTTTCTGGACAGCTTGGTCTAAGGAAGTTGAAAAATAACAGATTTATTGGCCTGATGCATTTTGGTTTTGAGCTTAAAAAAGGCAAAAATGTATTTTTTTTTTGTTTTGTTTCTGATACAGAGTACAGATATTAGAACACCTGTGAGGTTTTTATTGCAGTCTGGACTCCTATTAGGGAGATCTTCCCTCTGTATTTGTTCTGCTTACTATTATCATCAAAAGAGAAAGCAAATGAAAATTCCAAATTTTGGGCTGAAACCAGTATAATTGAGGGGGAATCTAGTGACACCCTGGGATTCCCATACTTTAGCATTTCCTCTCATTTCCTGTTTTGGCTATGGGACAGGAAGTGAAGGGAAATCTTCCCAATGGGACACAGATGGCAAAGTGACATCCTCCCTTTAGGCCCCATTGAAACAGAGCGGATGACAGGTCCGTGTCCACTCTGCAATGCAGAGCAGATACGGTTCAATAAATGTTTATTTAAGTTTTACATAAAGTACAAGATCAAAGCACATACATGCAAGGAAGGGAACACACAATAGAACGTACAATAAAGGCTGGGCAGCCTAAACACAAAGATTAGGTACCAGTAATCTTTAGTTCTACATCAATATCGAGTATGGACGAGCGCAACGGTTTACACATTTTCTAAAAATCTGCATAGTGGTCGATTTTCATTAGAACATAGAAGGGAAAAGCCCTGTGATGGGGTTTTAGAGCAACACAACTCCAATACACAAATAAAATTCCTGCCTTAACTGTACAGTTATCTCTATCACTATGGAAATATCTTCCTTTGTAAAAGCTATTGGGTAATGTTACCTCCCTAGGTAATAAACATGCAAATCTATTTAAAACCAGCACTCCCCACACTCTCGTGTAATAAAAAAATCTAAATGCATTAAACAAGATACATAAATATTATTATATACAGATTACCCCAGTGTAATAAACAAACAAAATATCAATCTTATAAAACAATGTGCACAGTGATTCACAAAGTGCAAACCTCCACATAAATTGTGAAGGAAAAACTATTCTGTATCATATTCCATCCGCTACGTATGTGCTATATAGTGTGCAATATATATACACACACACATACATACATATATATGCAGTACATGCTCTGTATGACTTGCTGCAGCGTCTAACAAACAGTACAGTAAAATTAAAGTACGGTATGTATTTTCAGTAGAGGAGAGGAGCCTGTACAAATGTGCAAGAATACATGGGGGAATGGAGTTCAGTTACCTTACATTTACTTTTGGATCTAAGTATTGTGAATTCTGGATAAGAGAACAGTCAAGCACAGCTTGATTTATTTTTAACTACAAGATATAACTAATGCAGGCCATAGATTAGGCAATTTTCTTTTCTTTCCTTTTCCTGCCATCAGAATACAATGATCACCACTGGTGGCTATAGCCACCAGCAGTGATTGCACAAAAAAAAAAATCAATCAACTTCAGTACAACCAGCCTGGCTATAGATGGAACAAAATTCGGCCTAATCTGTCTAGGGTTGGCTTTAAACTTGTCAACTCATCCACTACAGCACAGCTCCTACCTTTACCACAGATTGGACAAATACCTTAAGAAGTGATAAGATGCCCTTATCATCTATTATATTACAGATACTGTCCAAAGTTCGAGACAAGTGTGATGATGGTAGTATGATGAAAACCTCTGTACCTCACTTTAAAAAAGGCAATGAGTTATTGAAGGGAAACTATAGTCATCTTAAAGCAGAACTAAATCCATTGATCTAACAGTTTCACAAAACAGTTAAATTCCAGGATGCCGGGAATGCCAACGTCATATTTGCTTGTGCTCCTAACCAAACTGTCAAACCTTTAAATAGCTGGTGTCAACTGATCACATGTGCAGCACCATGGCAGTTGAAGATCAAACAGAGGGTGAGATGGTAGCTTCCTTGGCTGAAAAGGATAGGAGGATTTAGTTCCGCTTTATTTATTTTTTTGGGAGGAGGTTGGCTTCTGTTAAATAACATTACCAATGAGCATTGTTTAAAATTTCTTTGTTTCTCTATATTATTTTTAAATATTAGGTCTTGTTCACAGGGGAATACTTACACACATGTGAGGGCCATGTGTGTCAACATGAGGATGCACAGGTGCTCCATGCATCCCTGTGCAGGCAGTCCAATTCACGTCTTTTGGCATGCCGCAGCTGCTCAGACACAGCCGCTTCTCCCAATTTGACATACATGCGAGTGCACACTGTCTGCATTCGGTGATACTCACTTGCACCCACACAGCTGTCAAATTGGGACAGCGGCACAGGGATGCATGAACACCTGTGCAGGCAGTCCTATTCATATCAATTGGGATGCAGTGGCTACATGGACACAGTCTTTTTTTGTGAAATAAACCTGAACCCAACCAGATAATTAATTAGTGCTGCTGTTCATAGATGAAAAAAATCAAACCTTAAAATCAATATTAACACAGCACAAAAAATATAAATAAAAAATAGTATCAATAAAAATGCTAAATCATCAGTAAAAAATGTATAAAAAAATATATCATCAGGGAAACAAATTATATATATACATACACACAGTGAGGAACAGAAGTATTTGAACCCCCTGCGATATTGCAAGTTCTCCCACTTAGA